TGTGTGTGTGTGTGTGTGTGTGTGTGTGTTAGTATCTAGTTCCTTGTGTGTCTGTAATGTCCAGCTCTCTAACAATAGACTGATCAGCCATAGGGTGTTGCAATCACATGAGTCAGAAGGGCTGGACTATGTATCCTTGATGCTTAACCTGTTTGTTAAGTTCAAGGAGCTGGAGTCTGTCGCTCGCCTCTGAGCTCCTCTGTCTGGGTCACAGGTAAGGGCACGCATGCTCTGTGTGGGGAAATGTTACCAAATAAATCTTGTTTAACCTTAAATATTGAACTGAATTAATCGATCAGTTAGTTTATCACTGAATGAAATCTGGTCTTGGATTGTTTTCGCAGCATGCTGAAATCTTTTTAAGCCACATTACAAATCCAACAAAACTGTCTCCATGGCATCTTTATAACATCTTCTGTGACTGTACAGCAGCTTGAACATGTACGCACACAGACACTATTGATAAATTCATCATTTTTCCTTACTTTTACATTTTGTTATAATAAAAACTTGTTATTGGCAGAATAATAAGCAGACGTAGACAATAACACATTCTATACATGAGTAGAATTTCAATGTTTTACTTCAAACTTAACTGGAGATATTAACTTTACATTTGAAGCCGTTCTGCCTACAGCATCACCATCTGCACAGTAATAAAACACTTTTTTATAGTTGTCGTCAGTAATTTCAAACTTGTGACAGGACTTTGATCACATTTAGTTGAATAACTATGTGTACCCTTTAAATACGCACACAGAAGTGTTTTATTTGGGCATATTGAGCAGGAGTGTTATTGTGTTGCTGCTGTTGTCCAGTTAAAGATCAGAATAGACATCTTCAACTCTGGCCAGGCTAAGATATCTGATCCAACGCTGACCCTCATTGTAAACTGTGTGAACGGTTGCTATCTCAGGATCTACTATGCTGCTTAATGATCAGAAATAGTTGTTGGTGTAAATATAGGCTAATAGGGTGTCCATTTTGCAGAGCTCACCCTTAACAAAATGTCTGACACAGAAGAAGTCGGGGAGGAAGACGTTCAGTATGTGATCAATTTTACACTTTTTTTTTAATCTTCATGTTATTATGAGTGCAACATTTCTTTATTGTGTAATTAAGAGGACATTTTTAATTGTGGCAATGTTTCTGCTCTCTTCCAGGGAAGAAGATGGTAAGAAAATTGCATCTACCCATTATTTTATACACCTGATTTCATTCCCAGTTTACTAATCATGTGTGCTCCTGGTCATCAGCACAAGATGACTCAAAGACCAAGCCTAAGTACGTTTCTTAACTTCCCTTACGTTGAGCAGTTTAAACCTCACTTAGGACAAATCATTCAACGATAAACTGTTCACACCTGCAGGTTTATGGCAAACATTTCGGCCCCGAAGATCCCTGATGGTGAAAAGGTGGACTTTGATGTGAGTCAGCCTCATCAAACGTCTCTCCGTTTGAAACTGACCAGACACATTTCTCACAATGTTTGGTTTTTTGACGCAGGATATCTACAGGAAACGTCAGGAGAAGGATCTAGCTGAGCTGCAGTCTCTGATCGAGGCTCACTTCGTCCAGAGGAAGAAAGAGGAAGAAGAACTCATTGCCCTCGTTAATAGAATTGTGAGTTGGTTGCAGAGCAGTCAAAGTGTCTGTACCCGGCTGAAGTTCACCGTGACTGCGCGCACCTTTGTGTGTTTCTTGGTTGTTGTTGTTTTTAGGAGAAGCGTCGTTCTGAGAGAGCCGAGCAGCAAAGGATCAGGGCGGAGAGAGAAAAGGAGAGACAGAACAGACTTGCGGTACGGACGTGGATTTACACCTTCAGTCTACTGTTTATTATTCCACCTGCAGCTAAAACAGTATTGAATGATTGGCTTGTGCTGCGTGCAGGAGGAGAAGGAGCGTAAGGAGCAGGAGGAACAAAGGAAGAAGATGGATGAGGACGCAAAGAAGAAGAAGGCCCTCTCAAACATGTCTCAGCAGTATGGTGCTGGACAGAAGGTCTCTCAGTTTCCTGTGAATGACAGAATTAGAATAGTATGAAGCAGACATCTGCTTGCTTGACTTAATGAGAATGGATCACCTGAGTGGATAGTCCACTGTGATGCTCCTACTGCAGTAGCTTTGCATGATTTACAGTTAAAAGTACTGGGCCCCTCAGTTTACCCACAAAGCTGGTTTTATCTACTCCACCTTTACGACTCTTCTCCCATTAAGCTCTCTCTTTTGATTGGCTGTCTCTGATAAACAGAAGCCTTGAAGGTGGAAAAAAATGTCTGAAACTGAGCATTCCCAGCTCTCTGAAGACTTTAGGATTACTTGTACATATGCTGGAATGCAGTTTAAAATAAGTTAATAATAATAATACATAGAGAATGTTGAGGCGGATTCATGCTCATTCTTTATGTTATGTTACGCAGAGTGACACCAGAAGAGGCAAGAAAACAACTGAGAGAGAGAAGAAGAAGAAGATACTGGCTGAACGCAAGAAACCTCTTAACGTTGATCACCTGAGCGAGGATAAACTCAAGTATGACAACACTATGCAGGGCTTCTTCAGTATTCATAGTTCATTATGTTTCTAAATACTGGCCACAGATAACTCGTGTTAATACTGCAACATATTTAATAGTAACAGGTCATTTGATACGTTTTTGGTATGAATTTCTACTTTAGGGATAAAGCCAAAGAACTGTGGGAGTCACTCATGGGGCTGGAGGCTGAGAAGTTCGACCTCAGTGAGAAACTTAAAAGACAGAAATATGATGTAAGTCATGAACTATTAATCCGTTCTGTGATATTACTGTCATTATTTAAAAAGACAAAATAGAACATTGAGTGTATTTATGACCAACAGCACGAGAAACACCTGAAGGCAACCATCCTGCATTTATCATTTATTGATATTTGTTGGTGTGGTTTGCTAGTTTCACGATTCACGTTAGACCCCGTTGTGTAAGATTATCAGCCTTTTTATTTCGAAACACTGAGATGTTTATGTGCCGTTGCAGATCAACCTGCTTCTCTCTCGTGTTCAGGATCACCAGAGGTAAGCACACAGCTCCCCCGCTGGATCTCTTCCTATTTTGATGACCTTCTAAGGTTTCTTGTCTTACATAAAGCTTCTGTTTCTCCATTTCACACTTTTCTAAGATACGATTTCACCACTCACAATCAGAAAATAGATCAGAGACCGCAGTTATGAGTGTATTATGTTCTAAAAAACAGTGTCACTCAGCTCAGCGGATACTCGAGAAATCTATCATCTGTGACATTATTAGAAAAACACATCACGTACCCTGTTCTTATAGTTTGAATTTATTTTCTCTTAAACAAACAGCATGCAGCTTGACAGCATACTCCCATAAAGTCAAAAGCCTTAAATGTTTGCGGTTAAAATTTCTGCACTTAAAATATTACCAACTTAATCATTTCCACATCATCTCATGACTCCCACAGTCTTTGTATTTCCGTCTTTAACATCTGTACCCTGGGTAATGGCATGTCGAATTGCTAAATAATGAAACTATATGATATCCGTGTTTATTAAACTCATTGGTATCCCGAACCTTTTCAGTGCCAAAGGTCGTGGAAAAGGCAAGATGGGCCGTGTGAGATAAAGCTGCTACAAGATAGAGTCGAGGCAAACGGTGACACCAGCGATGGACCCTGGTGTCTATTGTCCATGTGTTCATTCTTCTATTGTGTAAGGTTACGTGTCAGTTGCTATGGTCATAAAAGTACAAAACAAGTGTTTCTGTGTAAATTTGTCCACTATAACAACTCTTACACAAAAATTCACACTGAACAGCAAATGTGTCTAATCTTGCATTGTTCTTGTGTCGCTTTAAAAATAAAGAAATAATGAATGTATGATGTATTGGTATGGGGTATGTTAACAATTACAAAAAAGTGCATTGCAGTGCACAAATTACTTCAAAATCCAATAAAGAGGGCATATACATGGTGTCACATGAGTTTTCATTTGTAGCTTTAATCAAAATCTACAGTTGGAGCACATATTCCTCAGCAAGGCTCCACATAGTGGTGATGTATAATATTATTTATGTACTGTTTTACTTACATTAAGAAAAATATAATAATCTAGGACAGAAGTATACGTGATGCCGATGGCGAGTGACTAAAATGTACTTCCCCTGATTATTACTTCCTTGCTGTACATTAAAACTATGTTTCCATATACACATATCCACACCAGTGCATTTCTGAGTTGTCTCTACAGCCTGAGCTGCTGCATGACTCGACAGGGAGGTGGGATGGTCCACATGAAGACAGTGAGGGTCCCCACAAGGATGAAGAGAGCTTGCTGAAGATTGCTCATCCTCACCACAGGTGGGTTTCTCGGATCTCTGCTATCACCTGGCTGGCTTTCTGCAACGCCTAGACACAGAGATGAGAAGACAGATGTAATCTAATAACTGATTTTAATGTCGTCATCACACCGCATTAAGATCATACTGGGATGTACAGTTTCTCCATCAAGTCACACAAGAGAATCACAAGTCTGATTTACTGCGGTAAGTAGAGGGATTTTTATGCTAAAAAGATTTGAAAAGTCATCTGCTAGATTGATTCATTTCTCGTGCCTCATATTGGCTTCAAACAAATGTCTAAATGAACGTTTGTACAGAAAGATGCTGTGTTCACAGAACAGTCAGTGCAACAATAACTTCAGAGCACTGAGGAACCACGTATATCTCTAATGTTGCAATAACAAAGCATGCTAAATAGTTAAGGCTTTTCCTAATTCATAAGACATTTCTTTGTCTTTAGAAAAAGAAGTTATATATTGTGGCATGCAGAGGAATCTTCACAAGGAAGCTCCACACACAGATTGAGCTTGCTGTTTGACCCCAAGCTGGTAGGGGGAGCTCTTTATTAAACACTTGCTGGTGCTACACTGTGCTTCGAGGGTCAATAACAGCGTAACAGAACTCATTTATGGTACTGCATTCTTTCTATAAAACAATAACTGTCAGTGACTTTGTACCGCAGTACAAACACAACATTTAAGATAATAGTTAAAAGTAACGTAACCATAAACAACAAAACAAGAACATCTAAACAGCAGCACGTCCTAGGGCATGATGAGAGAGAACTAGCTGCTCCCTCAACACGCCACAATATTATATTTACTGGATAAAATATAACTTTGTATGACATTGGCTCATGCTTTTTTGTGATGAATCTGTCACCTTGAGCATGTCAGCAGCCTCGTTGCGTCTTTGAGCCATGTCCTCGGACTCTGTCAGCAGGTCGCTCAGCAGCGTCGTCTTATATAACTGACCCACCAGCTCACTCTGCAGGCAGTCCTTCACATGGTTCACCAGGAAGTGCATCACTGCCTTTGGTACACTGAGGCCAAACGCAGTAAAACGTATAGTAAGGATTAACGATGTTAACGTTTACTCTGTTGCAGATGAAAAACCGTGAATCCTTACCTGTCTTGGATGTTTTTCCGAACAATGAGGAAATATGACTTGATGAGTCTCTCGATGACCTCACAGTCTCTCTGCTCCCGAGCAGACAACTTTCTTGATACTGGAACAGGCTGACAATGAAATAAGAGATACTCTAATAGCTATAATATTCGGCAGATTAGTGCACTTACAATACATCTACAGAACATTTTACCAATACCAGATATTGCCATCGAGCAAAAACAATTTTTAAACCTGCTTATACAAATGCAGAGTTCTCACCACATCTAATAGGTTGACAGCATAGCCCTTCTGGGGACTTGCAGTGATAAGAGGCTGGGGCATGGCCCTGTCACCAGCTGGAACCTCCTCGCCCTTTCTCACCATGCTCCTCCAGTTGCCCGTGCCACTGTCTGTCTGGTCACTGACAGAAGAGCTCTGAGAAACACTGGCTGCTCCCTACAGAGGGGAGAGATATAAGAGGTAATGAAAACAAGTAAAATCATCAGCTGATCCAACATTAAAAAAACCAGAGCACATCCAGAAGGAATTTCCTGATAATTTTTGACATGCTTCAAATATCAGCATGCCATAGGTCTTCTTTGACTTCAGTACAAAGACGTTCATCCAGATTGGTGCTCATTGTCCTGACTGTGAACTGAGCAAGCAAAGGGAATGTGTGGATAAAATGACAGGCAGTGTGTGACTGGGTGAAGCAATTATGACACAAAGGCTTTTTAAAGTTATTTAACTATATAAAATTTGATATAAATCCTGAGTGTAATTGCTCTTGGCACAAAATGTAACAGATTTACCTAAACCAGATCTTGAATATCTTTCTTTGGAGTGAATATATAATAAAATTACAAAGAGTGTCCATATCATATAGTCTACCATTGCTAGTAAGGTTTTCTTCAATTCCCCATTAAAAGAAACCCCAAAACAAACAAAAACCTCATGTCATTTCAGTTGAGCTGGGAATTGTGCTTTTTCTATCCGTGCAACCAGCATGCAGAAAATAGGGTTAGATGCAAATCAAAGTGTAAGAGCCAAAGAAACACAGTTTGGCTGATTTTAAAGGAATCAAAGAAAGTCTGGGGGTGGGCAGATGTAGACACAGGCAGGGGAAATGAACAAGACACACCTTAGTGACCTCGCCCTCATGGGCAGAAGTTTCGGTGGGGGAGAGAGACTGCCCCCCAGGACCTCTAAGGGACTAAAGAAAGACATGAGGAAGAAAGGAGAGGAGCATGGACAGGAGCTATAAGCCGAAGGTGTGCATGAGCCTTACATACAGTAAGATAGAAGAAATGCCCGACATACAAGTTGGGCAGCTTCAGATTAAGCAGACTGAAAGCACATAATTTTTTTATTTGTATATTTAATTATATTCTTATAACTTTATATATGCATGTATACGTGAACAGCTGGTTTTGCCCTGACTAAATAAATCTACATGTGCAGGAAAGAAGAAGTTAAAGTGCGTTACCACAAAGCAGTTACTCTCAGACAGACAAACTGTACCTTATCTCTGGGAACGGCAGAGGGCAGATCTCTCAGTCTATTCCGTCTCTGCTCCTACAAAAACAAAATTTTTGAAAAATATCACAAGCAGAAGAAGAGAAAATTCTCCCTTTTCTGGAAAAGAAAAATCATAATTAAAAACAATCAGTGTGAGGTGACAAAAGAGGATTATACAAACACTGCATTAAATAAATGTAATGAAAGTAGTGGCCAATCTCTTACTTCGATGTTGTTGTTCATAAGGCCACTGGCATCAGCAAAGTCGGGGTGTTTGGTGTTGATATACGCCAGCTCAATGGCAACCAAGTTATGTACCTGAAAATCGATTCAGAAAATAGGTTTTTCAGATTAGGGGCTGTTTGTTAACTTCCTTTATAAATACCACAAGTGTGAGGAGTTCCTGACCATTTCATTTGTGACTGGGAGCCTTTTTCTGAGAAGGGATGTGACCACCTCTACTATAGCATCATGAAGCTTTGGAAACCTCAGTAACTCCTGCAGAGATGATGAACAATCAATCAAAATGAAAGCCTAATGTTACAACCTTCGGCAATTACAGCACACCTCTGTGCTTTAGTCGCTGGTGAGGGCGTGTCTGACCTGCGTGCTGTAGTTACTGCAGTGCTGGATGATCCTCTGCATCTCCTCGTGAACTAGCTCCACGCAGCGCAGGCTGGGCTCTTCCAGACGCTTGACCTGCCGCTTCACGAGCAACTCAAATGAAACCTCGGGCACAAACAGAGCCGGCCTCGGGCCCTGACAAAGGCAATTAAAGTGTAAGCTTTGAAAAAAGTGCCTTTTAAGACAATCAAATCAACGGATGTCACAGAAACCAACCGTTGCATTTCTGATTGCAGTGAGCACGTCAATGGTTGTCAGACCGCCCAGAGGATCGACTGACTCCAACGTGCGACCGAACGTCTCGTGGAATATATAACAAATCCGTGCTCCACCACACCTGAGGAGGAGAAAGGACCACATTAAAGCACACTCAGATGCAGAATGTGCTTTCATTAAGGAAAGTATGACGCTAGCGCCCCTTGGTGGCATAACAAAGTAAATGCAGTTTAGAGTTGTGTAACTCACAGTTCAGCTGTCTCGATGTACTTGGCCGTGCCCTCTATTGTGTTGCAGTACTCTGCAGCAAACTTGGTGATAATCTGAAGCAACGTGGCACTCTTATCCTCGACAGGTTCACCGTAACTGTTGAGTAAAGACTGATACTGCGCTGCCAGCACATTGATCCTCGTCTTCAGCTCAGGGAGACAGTCTCTGATGTGGTGCATCAGTAACCTGTGGTAATAAGAAAGGAAGTCGGCAGGCTTGTTACGGACTAGTGTAGCCAGTGCTGTTTCATCTTGTCAGGAAGGGACTAAAACTCAAACATTTAAGCTAAAAAAAGGTCAATATTTCAAATTTAAATACATACATAATGTATCACTTTCATACCTGTTCAATGTTCTAGCCAGATATTTGGTTCCATTTCTGTTTGCGAGGGAGGGGTACTTCTTTTGTAAGAATGCATGTTCATCTCGAATAGAATCTGCCACCAGCTTCTTCTGATTGATATCCAACTGGCTCCTGATCAAGTGCACAAACAAAAATAACTATGAGGCTGAGTTGAACTTAAAAGGCGCAGTTTTGCCTTGTGTGACCACTCACTACACCGATACCTGTTTACTACTCCAATAATGCCCAGTTTAACAGGGATGACTCTGCCCATCAGGACATCCATGGCGTCCGTACCAGCATCCATCAGGTCAAGCTTGGTTATCACTGCTAGCGTCCTCCTACCTAAACACAGAACGCACAAACCCAATGTTAAAAAACCACTGCTGAGGAAAGAAAAGCAAAGAGCACGTGAGGGAGAAATGAAAATAAAGGCTTGTGCTGATTTAACTAAAAACAACCAGGAGAGAAGAGGAAACCAAAGAAAAACAGGGATGCCATTTACCATCAGGGTCAACCTCACGGGCCACCTTGAGAGCCTCTGATGTAGCCATATCTGTGTTGGCAGCAGTCACAGCCAAGATGATTGAATTGGGGTTGGAGATATACTTTAAAATCAGCTCTCTGATCTGGATCTCTATGTCTTTTGGCTGATCGCCCACTGGTACCTGTTTTAACAAATACAAGTAGACTTTATCCATGGCAGATGACCACAGCTGATTAATAAATAGCAGTGGGGTATTAAAGCCTACAACCACATAACTACTCATGTAAGCACATTTATTTAACACTTATCAGTCCTTTCAAGCTACATGTAACTAGCTTTCATCTGAATAATCAATGAATGTGACCTGGACAGAGATACATGAGCAAGGAGAAAGAAAAAATCATTAAATCAGCTAATGTACAATATGGATCAATATGCTTCCTAGTTCCTGTTATAAAACGTACAAATAGCTTAGATCCAGCACAAAGTCAAGACTTGCAGTTGCTTTTAAGGACTTTTTTAAAGGAAGAACTATTCATGGTTTTTAAACCTTTTAAAAACTTAGAGATACCCTGTATGAAATGTATCTGCTAGATCATTTTATCTTCTTAGATCACACAGGTCTAGACTTGGAGAAGCAAACTTGTCTTACCTTGGTGATGCCAGGAAGATCCACTAATGTGAGATTCACAACTTGTGGAGAGAAGATTTTTAGGTGAATGGGTTCATCGCTAATTCCCTGCAAACATAATAAAGCACCTTTCAGGTTGGTGTGGACATTTAAAGCTCATCCATTTTCTCCATTCATGTTTGACACTCACTTTGTTACTGCCAGAAATTCGTTCCGTTTCTGTCTCGATTTCGTGTCTGATTTCCTCAAAATCTGCGTAGATCTGAAAAGATGATTTAACCATGAATATTAAGGGGGTAAGAATGAGCAACATTAATTTTAAAAAGCATTTGTTGACACTGAAAAGACAAGGACAGCCGGGAGGAGCAGAAAGTACATGACAGGGAACACTTACAAAGAAATCCTGAGAAAATCCAATTGATATCACGAGGCTCTCAGCACCTCATAAGAGCTTATTTGTTCAAACATGAAGAACTACAGTAAATGAAACTCAGAAAAAGACACAATGTAGCTTTGGAGGACATTAGCCCTGTGGCCAAAAAGATATTTTTAGCAGCTGAAAGGGTGTGTGTGCCTGATCCTGTAACATGTTTTACATTTGAGGCATGCCGCAAAACCAGAAAATGTCGTCCTGTTCAATGCATATGTGTCAAAGTAAATATGGGGCAAAGAACAAAGATGTGTCTTTTTTCACCTTTGTATTTGAAATATTCAGATGTTTCTAATACACAGTACAGCATGGGCATGAGAGTGTTAACCTTGTGGAGAATAGGCTGAAAAGTCTACCTTGTTTTTGGTGTGTAGGAATTTGCCCCATTCTTCTCCATCGATGCCTGCAGAAATACAAAGTCGAGGACAGATGTTTTAGATACAGATTACGTGATAGATGTGGCCTTGAGACAAACGTTATTATTATTACATCCCTGATTTAAATGTGTTTTCTGCCGGCAAGGATGTGAAAGATAAACTCTTAAGAGGAGAAGGCGCCACAGCTGAAGAGTTGTTCTCACATAACAGTAAAGGAAGTAAATAACCTAAAGCAAAAATAAAGTGCATTCTGGAAAGCAGAAACCTAGAAAGGCTATTTAAAAAAACAAAACAAATCAAAGTAAGCTGATTTTTGATGCAATAATCAACAGGTTGGGGTGTGTTGTTCATCTGAAGGAAGCTGCTCTATGAGGCCCTTATAATTATTTTCAACACAATTGTATATTTTTTGACCAGAATATGCCAACTCTCTTTAACAAACTTCAAATGACAGACACCAGCCTATTTGGGCGGAAGGGCATGAGATGAAGCCACATGGTTTTGCAGTTTTGGAAAAGCTATACAAATACAAAGCAAGATGGGGACAAATAC